GGTGCACCACGTAGAGGTAAGTCTATCGCACACCCCATGCTTCGGAGATTCGCTTAGTTTCTCGCGTTCTCCATCCTGAAATTATTAATTAAGTGAATCTGAAGCACACTAATCGTTCTTATCTAATACCTTGAGGTATTTACAGTTGCGAGTTTCTATTTGATATGCATTGATTTCCGGATTTCTTGTAGTGGCATAATTTTTTTTGTAATAATAATATTAATGCCACTTTAACTCTTTTACTTCCATTTCCTTCTCTCAATGTTTTTTTGCCCTCACATTCAATTCTATTTATTTGATCTGGATTTACAAGAGTAGAAGGTAATTAAGTTCATGAACTTCTGGTCGAAGTTTTCTGCATCTCATCTTGTGTGGATGGGGGGGGGGAGACTGTGTTGTTAGGAGGAATGACCAATAAAATTTACTTGCGATTCGAAAGTGCAGATTCCTTCCTCTACAACCTTGGCGTCTAGGTGTCCTTTTACTCTTTTATTATATTTTTTATTGGGGGGGGGGGGGGGGNGGGGGGGGGTATTTTACGTGACTATTTTTCGCGCCTAGCACTAGTCAATATACCTCTTAAGGGTAAAAACTAACAAGTTTTAATGGTGCTTAGATGACTGCCTACTCTATATAAGGAAGTAAGTCTAAGGTTTAGAAATCTCAAAAACTCTGCCCCAGATGACATGCAATAAATGGAGGAAAAATTATCGGGGAAGTTTTACTGTCTAATTTCTTGCAGTTAGAAACATGGGTTAAATCAGTGTGCATTAGGAAAGGTCAAGATTAATGTTGGATATGCTATTAGGCAACATTCATTTACCTTCCAGGAGTTCGTCCGCTACTATCTGAACCGCAAGAGTTCTGACAATGTTGAAGAGATCGAAGCAAACAATGAAGCGTCCACATTAGTTGCAAAAGGTGCCCTGGAGACTGCGGAAGATACTACTGCAGAGGGTTCCGTTGGCGATTGTTCCCCTCGTGATTTCATTGAAAGCCATTCTCCATGCGAGGCAGGGGATGATGAAGACGTTTCTGCTTGGAACACGCTGAGAAACTGCTTCGCCCTCTGCTGTTTTGCTGGTGTATGTGGTGATACGTTCTTTTTGTTTTTATTGCTTTTTATGGTTTCAACTTTGGTCAGTTGATCGAAAGCACCCTTTCCGCTTTCTTTACTAACTGTCTGTCTTGCAAACAAGAGCACTAGTCCGTGTTCTCTGCGCAGGTCTATGCATAAATATTCAGTGACAGTTGAAATCAATCTATATTCGAAATCTAAATCGAAATTCCCAATATCTAGGTAGGTTGAGATACAAAGTGGGCTTTCAGATCTCTGTAAGTCTACTTTAATCCAATTTATTGGAATCCCTCATTATTGATTGCCGAAAAGTACTTTGAATTTATCCTCAATCTCTTCTGAATAGATTACTAGAAATTGAAGTGTTATTGCTAAAATTCTTTGAACTTCATGTTGGTCATAATCATCAACGATGATTTAACACGTTGGGTCAAACTGTTAGGGCTCATAAATAGCTATGGTTATTGATTTCTTATACGCATCGTTGACACCTCAATTAAATTGCACATTCTCATGTCAGAGGTCAAAAGTGTTTCATTCTCTTTGCTCCGCATTCAATGATGTGGGTGGTCAACCACATTGTCTATTGTTAGTTGAGCAAGAGTATCTTTTTTTCGCTAAAGGTAGGAGTTGAAAGCACTTTCGCCTGATTCGTGGATCATTTATTGCTTAATACGTGGAGCATGATTGAACGATATTCAATTTCTTCGATTCGTTGAAACTTGTAACTTCTTGTGAATTGTGGCACATTGAATGATAATTTGACGCGCACATTCTCCTAAACCAGTTCGGAGTTTATCGGGAAGTCCATCCAATCTGTTTGGTAAAAAGATAGGCTTTAAATTACAAATAATACTTCATATATGTAACGAAAATGTGCATGTATATATTATATAAAATAAAATTTAGCATTATTATTTTGTTTTAGTCGGAAGGACGCAGTCGTTGTGCAATTTACTGGTCTCGGTATAAGGAGACATTCAAGGAGTGTTGGCTCCAGTGTCTCACCATTTGGATGATCTTTGCGTGCACCTTGGCTCTCTTCCCCTCCGTTCAGTCCACTATCAGACCCTATGATCCCAACTACTTTATTAAAGGTGCGATCGGATTTTCATATTTGGTGCATGCCAGATGCTTTTAATTTCCCTCAATTTAATTAGAATTGCATTGCTGTTACTATATGTAGCACTAATCAGGAATTCAAACGATCCGGTTTTGGGAAGACCATGAGCTAAGTAGGACCATATGCATAGTAGACAAGTGGAAACTAATGAGATGGGATAGGAGGAAGAAGGTGGAGGTGTAATCGGGAGGAAAGCGGAGTAATGTAATAGATAACGCGAATGGTGCCTGATTTTGCGCACCTTTGGAGTGCCTTCGGGGTATTTATGATAAGCAAATCTGAATCGACGTTTTTGTGTTTCAGGTAGAATAGCAATTCTCGAAGAAAGACAGTCAAGGCTTATCGTCGGGACCTTTAGATGTCCATCACCTTTACATAGAGTTGGTGTGGAAAAGGAGAGGGACTGAGTTCCAGTGAAGCGATGGCAGTTGTAACTGCGTGGGGTTGCTTTGTGTATGCTTACTGAGAGGCTAAGTGCATTTCAGATAGAGACAGGAGTATAAAAGAGAGTTGGTTCATGAAATGACAATAAACACGAAGTGATTACCTAATTTTCGGATCTATCATTCAGTCGCATCGATTAGTGGAGTTCCAGACAAATTTTCCGTGCTGATAATCCATTTTCTTTTCGAGTTTAATTGGCAGCTATGACTTAGAGATATCTCACTTGTGAAGGTAGAGAATTTTCCGTTAGCTCAAATTTGTTACATTTGGTGATAAGCCCATCACTAGGCGCTTATACTGCAAAGAATTAAGCTGCCTTTCAGTTTGAAAATTGCTTAATATAACGGACGGTTTAACTACTTACTCCAACTTATCATAAATTAGGGCTGTAAAGAAAAAAATATACATTTTTGCCGGATCCAAGAACGAATAGTGTTTTTGAGGTTTAGTTTATGACAATGTTGACAAACAGCCGATCTAGAATTGGGTCAGTCAATTGACAGAGGAGATTGGATGATCAGAGGGAGTTATTTATCCTTTGGAAAGGTCACAGTAAATTTCATGAATTGGACCCTCACTAGGATTAAAGAAGTAAAGGTTACTCTCGATTGGTTAGCGTATTCGATGAGTACTTTAAGGTGATATATTCTCTTTTATAAGCCACAGTATGAAGTAGATGGGTTTGATGTGGTGAAAATGCGAATAAACATTTAAATACTAATATGAATTGCCCCCCCCTATAGTAAACTGCCTTTATTTTTCATTGCAGAATCCTGGTTTGTTGACATAACCTGCTTCTTCTTTTTCAACCTCTTCGCTCTTCTTGGCTGCACGGTTACCAACTGGATTCGCTTCGTAAGTTCAAAAAAAGCACTTTATTGGCTTATTATGAAGTTACCCCATCGCTTATTGGTCTAATGATTTATACAATTGTAGTGTTCCGGTTCCTCAAATCCCCTCTACTATTTCTATTTCTAAGTTGCTTCGTCGCTCTAGTAAAAGTCTTAGTCTTTTTAAGTCGCTACGATGTTCTCAAGCTGTCAAATTAGAATTTGCCAGTATGGTATGTGTTCATACACGGGCAGAGCCATGGTGTACGGTTCTTATTAAACTTTGTCGGTGTCGGCTTTATAACCATCGAAATTACTAAGCTTCTCTAAAGTACTTGATAACATACCTTTGTTAGGGTTAGGGTTTTCCGCTGGTATTATTATCTATTAAAGTAGAGGTTGTATCGGGTCTGATTAAAGGTAAAGGGCGTGGGGGAGGGGGGGGGTATATCGGGTTGTTCACTGTACTTATTAGGTGATGCCTGTTTCATCATGACAATGAATGATCTATTTTCGGCTTCAGATTCTGCCAAAGTTCAAAGTTGATTGACAGGTGGGCTGTGTTGAAAGTTTTTAAGCCTACCTCTTCTGGTGGTCACTGGTTTACTACCAACCCTTAAGGATTTCTCGAAATCCTAGTTTCTCGAACTCAATCTGGAAACATGTTAAATTTCTGTTGTACATTCCGAACGTTTTTTGAAGACTTTCCTTTTAAGTTTGCTTATTGTTTCAACCTCGTGCTTGAAAGTGGTCTCCTTACTTTCATACAACAAACGCCTGTGAAGAGTAGTAGGGCATGCCCAATGCAATTAAATTAAGGTTATTTCACATATTCCATTATCTATTACAGCCTGGTCCACGCTTCCTATGGATACCAGTCCTCTTGCGCCTCGTTTTCTTCGTACCCTTCTTCCTTTTCTCAAATTATCGTATTGACAGTCACGGTAGTGAACGCCGGATGCCACTCTATATAACAAATGATCACGTCTACGTCTTAGGATCTCTTGTCTTTGCATTCACAAGTGGCTACTTTTCTTCCCTAGGAATGATGTATGCTCCCATGTAAGTCATCCTCTTTGAGGACTATTTTTTCAGGGGGGGGGCAATTTCAATGCTATATAAGAAGCAATGCGGTAGCCAATAACCAAATTAATGTGTATTCCTTTGTAGGAGATCGCCTCCTGAGCGTGCTGGACTTGCCGGTCTTTTGGCTTCCTTCTTCTTGATACTTGGAGTCTTCTCTGGTTGCAATCTTACGCGTGCCATAATGGCGTTCCTGTAGTGTTGGCGATTGTCGTCTTCTTCCCTATTAAAGCGCTTTTAATAACAAAATAAACATTCTAAAAGAAGTGCCATAGTTAATAATAAAAATGCTTTGTTTAGTGTCTCCCATGAACTATTTCACTATGTTGAAATATTTAAGGAGAGGTAAAATAGATGATTGGTGTGGTCAGCATAATGAGAATCGCTCGTTAGATCCAATATCTGATCCCGGCAGGACTAGTAACTCAAGCCTCATTTCTGACCAATCAGTTCTGTGGACTACTACTTGGGTTTGGGAACGTACGGCAATATGCGGCATTATTAAACCTTTTTCGACAGCACTCAATGTGGTGAATTCGTGTGCAATAAGAAGTGCTCGGCTATTAGAATTTCCTCCTTTTGCTCACCGTCTTTCCAGTATCCATAATTTAAACTGATCGTCAGCCCCAATTTTAGCATTCTTTAATTTAACGAAAGCTGAGCTTTGGAGTAACCAGCGCGAATAAAGTAGAATCATAAAGTAATATAGAGGGGCAAAGTTGGGAAAGCGCAAAGAATTTAACAGACAAAAACATTTTGAAAATATGCATATTTGTTCCAGTTGGAACAATATGGGGATAATTTATCAATCAATATAATCGCTTATCTTCAAAGTTTTAAAAAAATCATTTGGGAATCGTGGTGGACTGAAATTGGGAGGGCACAATTATAAGCATTTCAATCTTCTAGAAATATTTACGTTGTCAAAAGTGAAGCAGAGATAGAGTAAATATATGTCGAAGTTATTTAAATAATTCAGCAAAATGCCCTCTTGTCATATGTAATTCATACTTGTACGGTGATATAAAATAAAATTTAGTGCTGGGTATATCATTCTTTGAAAAAATTAAATAGTAATTAAAATGATTTAAATGAAAAATACCTTATATTCAAACACACTTTGGATTATAATAAATAATTTTTAACAGATAAATAGTAATTAAAGATTGAATCAAACGGAAAAATATGGCTTTTGTATTCAAAGTTAATTTATTAAATAAAAATGCAATATGTTGCATTTTTTATGTGATAGATTATTTAAAGCAACAATTTGTATGACCTTGACTACTCCCTCTGAAATGACCCTGACTCATACATCCGTTTGAAAGATATTCATGGCTGCTGCATCCTCAAGGCAAATAAGTTTAGATCTATCTACTGATGATAATAAAAGAAATTCAGTCAGAAAAGGATCAATTTTTAATTTGTTTAATCTTTCATCAAATGAGCGCCTAAATGAAGCGACCGATGTGGATATTCAACTTTTTGATGGGACAAAACTGTACGCTGTTGTCGATGTGAGTTAACATAAATATTTAGTTCCATAAAAATATAACGTTCGAAATGTATACACTTTTCGAAATGTTGAATAGTAAGGGTTTTTTTAATTAAATTGATTTTTCAAACTACCCTTATTTCTGTGAAAGCAGAAGCGCATACGTTTAGTTCAAAATTGAGTACTATTTTTTTCATTTAATTAAAGCATTTGGATAGGTTTTGATTTTTATCTTTATTTAGCCAGGTTTGCATTTTTTAGTATCGAATTACTTGCAAGACTTTGATTGAACAAATAGCTTCAGAACTGGGTGGATTATCGATTGCCAAATATTTAGGTCTTATAATTGAACCTCCTGGTGAATTGCCCGTAAGTATTAGTTATGCTATTAACGGAGTCAATTTATAAATAATCACTAACTGCCTGCTTTAACATTGAAATTTAGGAATGGATGGATTTAAATAGCTTAATTGCTAAAGAAAAAGCAGGTAAGCGATTATTACTCTAACATTACATTTTATCCCGTACTATAAATGTGTTTCTAGTAAATAATTTTGAATATATTTTATTCCTTAGCAAAGGGCTTTAATATAATCATGTTACGAATCAAGTTTTACCCAGCTGATCCTGTGCTTGAAATGAAGCCGGACTTCTTTTTGTGAGTCTTTCAACTTTTTTCATTATCAGAGATAACTTAATTACGTCTCAATTTATTGTTTCTTTAACAATATTTAGAAATCTACTTTACTTTCAACTTCGGCACGATCTCGCTGTTGGTCGCCTATTGGGCAAAGATCGCGATCGTTGTTTACTTGTGGCTTATTCAATTAAATGTGAGCTACTATCCTCATATATTTCTTAAAAATGTACTATTGACAGTTTTATGCCTAAAACATGGAACGCTCTCTATTTTGCTATATTTTCTTTATTGTTCGTTTGAATTTATTTAATAAAATGTCACCTAAATTGAGTTTCGTGTGCTCATTAAAAAATTTATACTCACATGGTGGATACAGCGATGAATCGGTGTGCTATGTAGGACTATGGGGTGAAGGCTATAAACACGGATTACCAAAATGCCAAATGTCAATAATCAGTCAAGCATTCATATTATTCAGTCATATAAATGGTTAGCATTTGATATTTGTTCTAAAAGTTTGACAACACTGTAGTCAGTTACAATTTAGTAGTTTTTGCTCAATGCTAATTTTTTATATTCCATTGTTCTAGGTTTCAAATTTAAATACTTATTAAAACGTTTTATTTTGAAATTTAGATGAGGGTGGACTCAGAGGAATCAACAAAGACCAAATTTCGGATAAGGTCGTGATTCGCTCGAAGGTCTCTCCACACCAGTTGGATAATTCCATGCAAAATCAAATCAAGGAATATTTGGAGGAAAATTAGTTAGTAAATTTTAAATTGTAGCTTTAATTTCACGGGAATAGTGAAACAGATAGGACTGAAATGATTCCCTTTTAATAATTTTTAATTGAATGATGCATTTGTTATTCGCTTTTATCGCATATTCCTTGCCCCACCCCCAAATCAGGGAAAAATATTTACGAAAGAAACCATTTTGAGTTCTCCTTTTGGTTTTTTATGTAAAACTGCAATTATCGAAATCGTTAATTCTTCCCCTTTTTTGATATTGAAAGTGAAGCAGCACTTCAATTCTACTTACAATTTTACTTTTACTGTGGTGTTTTAATGTATTTTTCTCTCGATTGAGCACCGCCTAATTTAGGTAAAATATGCAGATACTACACATTATTTAGAATTTGCAACTTTTATATTTGAAATATCTACCTCTCAACGATCCTTCCATCAACTTTTTTTTATTTTGGAGACTTTGTTCACGTTTTATTAAAGCATTGCAATGACAGATAATATTTATTTATATCAAATGGCAGGCGTTCTGATAGTTATCATTAGCCCTTTAGTTGACTTCAGGCTTCATAGAGGGGAAGGAACATCAAAGTGGAAAAAAATTCGAAAGGGGGGGGGGCAGATGAGTGCTTCAATTACGAAGGTAGGAAAAAGGCGAGGTGTTTACTGTGGAAGTAGTCGAATATGACATACAATGGGGTGAGGGTAGTTTGAAGTCAGAAGTCAACTACCAGTAAATAAACTTTTTTGCCGTATGAGTATACGTGGCCCAGGGTGCACCACGTGGAGGTAATTCTATTGCACACCTCATAACTGATAATATAAGATTAGAAAATCATCATGATAGGGCCCAATTTTTTTCCTGTTTTCAATCGGTATGTTCGAATTTCCCCCCTCTGTCTAAACTACTACTGAAAGATTTTGCTCTCAATAAGAGAAGCAATAAATTGCGATTACTTCGCATTCAATAAACCCATTATCGATTATTGAATTAGGGTCTCTTATGCTTAATTATCCTATAACTAAATAAGCTTACTTTTAAAGAAAATTTCTTTTGAATAGATGCGAACTTTAACATCGAAATAACCTTTATGTTTGAAAAGGACGTAGAA